ATTCAAAAGGTGGGTGGTTCCTCAAGAATGATCCTGAAGTTGACCTCTGGCCTCCACATACCCACCTACCCACCCACACCCCATTTGTATCCACAGCACAAAGGCCCGTTTTCTTTGGGAATCATCTCTCACTGCCAAGGTTTAGGCGGCATAAACATGTTCTTACGTAAAAAGTCACAAAAGCACTAAGCTGGGGTAATAAGCAGATTTGAAGATGATGATTGTGTTTTGGGGATGAATCACTACTTGTCTGAACTGTGGGGAGGTCGAAGGTATTTTTAATTTAATGGATTAATCATGGATGTCTCAAGTTCTCGCTCCTGCCCATGAAAGCAATGCAGGGACTTTGCAGGAAGTTATAAATCATGTCAGTGTTTGGGCCTCATTTCTGGAAGCCTGGGCTATGGGCAAGTTATACTAATAATTCGTGCGAGGTAGTATAGCTTCCTGGAAGGGTTCCTTTAAGCGGCTAGGTCAGGCAGCCACGGAAGTGGGGGGATCCCAGAAGTTGGTGGTAGCCCAGTCTGTGTATGGGATCCCAACTCTGCTACCAAACCACTGGAGAGCAGGATGATTCTCGAGAGAAGCAACCTATATTTTGAAGGGCCATTTTTTTCTGGGTCTTCATTTTCTCATCTGTATAATGGGCTGGAGGCCCTGAAAGGGGCCACTAGCTTTGATCATCAGTGTCTACCAACTATGACTAACTATGGCTTAAGATAAACCATAGCCTCCCCCAAGTCTGCCCCTCCTGCATCCCATGTATTTCCCTAACATCTTCCTGCCAGGCCAGGAAGGAACCAAACCAGACCTCCACCAGCACAGCTAGGCAGCTGAACCAAACTCCACCCAAGCTGCTCAGGACCATCTTTCATACCCTCAAGTGAGGTGGATGGTGAAAAGAATAGGTCAGCATCATTGCCCATGTTCCCCCTCCTGCCTCCTGAGACTCTTTAGCGAGTCAGAAAGCCCTCTGAGAACCAGCAGGGTCTTCCTAGCCTCCTAATCTCCTGCACAAGAGCTCCCTCCTTCGGCAAGCCGTAGCCCACAAAAATCTTTATACCCTCCTTCTGGAAGATTCCTACCATGACCCAGTCCTCCTTCCTGGAAACCTGCACCATCAGAAGTAACTGAGTGTAAGGACTCACTGAGTCCCCTGGGGAACTGGCTGGCACCCAGCCATGTGTTCTACCAACTCCCATCTTGCTGGGGCCAATAGTCTTCCACTCACTGCTTTTTCCTCCAAGTCTCTTTCAATGGCTGGTTCCGACCTGCTCTGAGCTGTGCACTAGACTTGGGGACAGAGAATGCAGGGCTCCAGAGGATGCAGGACTCCTGTCCTCTGTTTCCCCAAGTGAGCAGTCCAGAGAACCACAACAAAGGCCTGACAACTGCCTACTCTACCCCACATCCAGATTCTCTTAGGGAAGCTTCATGGCATCCCAGCATTATCCCGCATTGGCCCTGGGTGTTGTCAAGGTCTGTTTGTAGTTATTGATTATATGTATGTGTGATGTAAGGGTAAGTCACCCAGTTCTCAGAGTCCCAGTGATCTTGTCTGTAAGATAAGGGTGGCACACAGTAGGTATTCAGTAAATGTCACTACTGTAATTATGGCTTTCAGAATGCCCTATTTTCCATGTCTTTCCACATAGATGCACCTTGGTTCCTTCCAAGTCTGACAGAACTTTAACTTTGAAAACTTCCTTTTTCTGGGGTCAGCAGGCCATTTCGTTGTATCCTTGGGAGACAATCGTATGATCTGCTTTAGAGGTGATCCCATGAGGGTGTAGAGTGCCACTCCAACTACCTTCATGAGCGCTAAGAGCTATATATAGAACTCTGTGGGACCAGGCCAGCCATCCAGCAGGCCACACAATGAAGTCAGAAACAAGGGATCTGCTTCCCAGTGTACTCTCCCCACACTATCAACAGCCCTTCCTTTGGCTAGTAGAGAAGTCTTGAATCTCTCAACAATTAGGGCATGGGTCTATGCACCTCTCCTTCAGAAGGCTTTCCAGGCCAGGTGTAATAGTTCATCTTCATCATCAGCTTGACTATGAGACACACCTTGGCACACTCATACAGATGTAATCAGTGAGAAAACCCGAGGTGGGAAGACCCCCCCTAACTATGCCTAGAATCACCCTATATGGTCGGGGGTCCTAGACTGAGTACAAAGGAGAAGGTAAGCTGAGCACCACCATTCACCTCTCTTTCTGCTTTTTGATTGTGATCGGCCACCTCACATTCCCACTGCCATGCTTTTTCCTCTGTGATGGAGACACATCCTCAAACTGTGAGCCCAGATAGAACCCCCATCTCTTGAGTTCCTTTTCATCAGGCAGTTTGTCAATCAACGAGAGAAGTAGTTAAGACACTGGTAAGCAGCCCATTTCCCATCTTTTTGAGACAGTCTAAGCCTAGAAATGCCCATGGTACTGGGACCTCGTTCTTTTTTAAGATTATTTATTTATTATGTATACAGTGTTCTGCTTGCATGTATGTCTGCAGGCCAGACAAGGGCACCAGATCTCATTATGGATGGTTGTGAGCCACCATGTGGTTGCTGGGAGTTGAACTCAGGACCTCTGGAAGAGTGGTCAGTGCTCTCAACCTCTGAGCCATCTCTCCAGACCATTTTTTTTTTGTTTTTTCGAGACAGGGTTTCTCTGTGTACCTTTGGAGCCTGTCCTGGAACTCACTCTATAGCCTAGGCTGGCCTTGAACTCACAGAAATCCACCTGCCTCTGCCTCCCGAGTGCTGGGATTAAAGGTGTGACCCACCACCGCCGACCTCTCTCTTAAATCCATCCATACCATGAGCCCAGGCTTAGCCTTCCAGGTCCCCAGGGGCAGAAGGTCTCAGCACAGGGGCCTGCTATATTATATATGAAGGATGTGGAGGCTTTAGAGCCTCCTCCAGTGGTGGAGACATCTAGGAGGTTTTCAAGCTGTTGTGTAGGAGTCTCATCCTCTTCATGTTTGTCTTAGAGGAGATAAAGGGTACAGAGGCCCTAGCTCTCTCCTTGTGCTCTAGGCTCTTTAAGTTTTAAGATTTATTTCTATGTATGTGAGTGTACATCTGTGTGTGGGTACTGGGTACGTGAATGTGAGTGTAGGTAGCTGTGGAGGCCAGAAGAGGGCACTAGATCCTCTGGAGCTACAGATGGTTGTGAGCCACCAGATATGAATGCTGGGAATTGAACTTACATCCTCTGGAAGATCAGGGAGCACTCTTGACTACTGACTCAACTCCCCAGTCCTGTTCCTTGGGCTCTTATCAAGTGAGGCTGGATGGAAGGCTTTGGGATACCAGATAATTGTATTTCTGCAGCCTACCTGAGGATCTGAGGGGTTATAACATAAAGTAGGGCTCTTTTGCAACTGAATATTCAAAGCACCATCAGCCTCTGGTCATCACTTTCCAGAGTCAAATGGTGACATTCTTTGTAGAGCACATGTTCTACCTGGACCAGTCCCTGCTAGGAGTGTCCCCTACTACCTGCCTGCTGCACAGAAGTCTAGTCCCCGATTGACTCCTAAATCTCTTGGTGGGTTCCTGTTAAGGTATAACTAACTAGGAACACATGGGTTATGATTGGTGAAACCCAGATACATATATTTTTTTTTATGGGCAGAGTCTCATGTAGCCCAGGCTGGCCCCAAACTCATTATATAGTCAAGGATGCCCTTCAATATCTTTCTGATTCTCCTACCTCTACCTCCTGCATGCCACCCTCTCAGTTTGTGGGGTGCTGGGGACCAAACCAGGGTTTTGTACATGCTAGGTGAACACTCTACCAACTGAGCTAAATTGCCAGCTAGAACTCCAGACTTCAAAGGTACATCCCAGCTTGAGGGAAATTCTAATAAGATACTACGTGGACATGCACAAATATAAAAATCCCATGGACACTCTGTCAAGGTAAGCACAGGGCGAGCTAAAGATGCCCAGTCATCCCTAAATGGCTTGCCACTCACCCTGGCTCCTCGAGGTCAGTGAAGGTGAGTCTCATGATATCATCATTGGTGACATCTTGCTCACTTTCTCCTGGGAGAAGTCCCAATCACCAGCTGTCACCGAGGACCTGGGAGCTGAATTGCCTCACTGTTCCCGGATACCTGAGTGCCTGCACCAGGCCTGATCAGAGACAGCTGGCCTTGGTGGGATGATGCTAATCCCTCTGATATGATGGTCCAGGATAGGACTTCAGGGAGACTGGAGCTTGTTTTGATGGTGGGTGGGGCCCGGCTGAGATGGCAAGCAGTGTGATATAGAGGTAGGCTAACTCCAAAATGGCCCCAGACAGTAAGTGATTTTCCTTAGAAGCCACCCATAAAGAGGGTGACAGCATATCCACTTGAGAGTCCATGCACAGTGCTCATCCAGGGCTGGCTACAAATGTACTCAGACTCTGGCTTGGAAAACTGCTAGGCAGGGGAGGAGGGTGGACAGGAGGGGGTTCCTCCTGGCCTTTAAGATGGCCGGTAATGTGTGGACCTGAGGCAGTGAAAACAATCCCTCCAAACGTGCCCATCCTCACTGGCAGAGAGGAGGGTCATGGAGCCCTGTGGGGAAGGGCTGCTGAGAGAAACAGTGCCATCTAGATGCACAACGATGTGGTGTCATGTCACCTGAAAGAGCAGTGGTGACTTGGACACAGGTTCTGTAATTGCTAGATCTGGAGATCAAGGTATTAGGTTGCCTGGGGGCCATGCCTGCCCTGTACTTCCCAGTGGCCACTGGAGCCTCAGCAGCCCTGGTGACTTGCCTGCATGACTCATCCCCAAGCTCCCTCCCCTAGCATTTGGATCCCTTTCACCCGAGGTAGCCTTGGGTAAACCAGACCCAGCACTTTCTAGTCCATTCCCTTTATTACAGCAGATGGGCTGTTTATGTCTTTAACAAGACAAAATGCAAGAGAGAATGAGGCTTGCTCGGAGCACAGCATGGAGGGTGCTTTGAGGGGACAGCATGCACGGAGCCATTTACTAACCATTCACCTGCAGGACGTGGGTCTGGAACAGATGCTCGTGGCCCAGCGCGTGGCAGGTGTAGTTGCCCATGTGGATTGTGGTCACCTTGGTGATATACAGGGACTCATCCTCTCCGAAGTCCTGTGGGCAAAAGAGTGACGATGAGATTCACTTCTGTTGAGCAGACTGGACAGCTGGTGAGTGAGTTTTCCAGGAAAAACATCTCCCTCCCTGGTGCCTCCTCCTTTCACGTGGCCGTGATCTTTCCTACTCTGCAATCAAATTCCCTGTAGCTCCTGGGAACGCTGGCTTGTTTCACAGGAATCTTGCTCACCTGGTGGAAGGCTTGATTCCCGAGGGAGGGCCTTGTGAGAGCAAAGATGGACAAACTTTCTTAAAGGGCTAGATGGTAGATTTTTCAGCCTCCAGAGTCTTCCGGTTTTTGTCAAAACTCCTTGGCTTTGACATGACAGCAAGACAATAGCCAGGATGATATGCGTGCGAATGAGTGTGGCTGTGTTTGACGGCATCCATGGACTCTAGCCTGGTTCAGATTCCATCTAGATCTCCAAGTGAGTATAGGCAGCTTATGGGATCAGAGTCACCCAAGGTAAGAGGGACAGAAGCGGTGGGAATATGGGACAAACCAAAACAAGGCAGGGACCTGAGAGAGAAACAGAAGGGCCCATTCCCAGGGTTTCCACAGGAAGTGACCCAGTGTGGCTCGACTTAGTGGTCCTTGCAGCCTCCTAGCATGGCTCTTCCTGAGTCAGGACACAGGGAAGGGGTCCAACAAACACAGGGCACCAGCAACTCTCTGGTCAGCTGTATTCTTTCTTACAGAGCTGTTCATGAAGCTGGACCCTTCCAGGCACCTGCTGCCGACAAGTTAGGGCCCAAGATTTCTTAGTTGTCTGTGGAAATCCCTCAGTAGGTCTGGCTTTTGCTACCAGACATCTCCAAGGATGTGGGGCTTGGCACTATTGAGACCTTGAAGGCCTCAGCTTATGGGTAAGAAAAATGGCTGCCCAGGGTTGTATGTTGGAGACACGGGGACACCTGGCATAGATACCCAGGAGACCCAGAATCGGCTGCAGCTCTGCCATTGACCAAAAGCCCTGTAGTCCCCACCTATAAGCTGTGGATAAAACATGTGCCCTGGCTGCCTAATGGGGGCATTGGGGACCCAGCAAAAGAATGCATGGGAAGCCAAGTGTAGGGGTACATGCCTGCAAATTCCAGCACTTGGGAGGTGGAGGCAGGAGGATGAGGAATTCTTGTGAGCTTGAGGCTAACCTGGGCTATATGAGAAACTGTCCTAGTTTACTCTCTTGCCGCTATAAAACACTTACCAAAACCAACTCGGGGAGGAAAGGGCTTACTGTAGCTCACAGGCTATAATCCAGCATCAGGGGGACCCAGGGCAGGAGCTCGAGACAGGACCAGAAGCAGAGACCATGGCTTACTCAGCCATCTTCCCAAGAGTACCGCCACCTGCAGTGGTCTGGCCTTTCCTACATCAGTCACTAATCAAGAAAAGGCCCCACAGACTTGCCTACAGGTCCATCACATGGAGCCAATTCCTCAGCGGGGTCTCTCTTCTCAGGTGACTCTAGTTTGTGTCAAGTTGGCAAAAACTAAGGCGCACAGGCTCTGTCCAAACTAAACCAAACCAAATCAAACCAAACAAACCAGACCAAACCAAACAACCAAACCAACCAAACCAAACTAAACCAAACCGAAACAATACCCAAGAAAAAGGAATGCACATAAAGATGTTTTCTGGGATGGGATGCACGGTGCACACTTGGGGCACTGTTTTTCCTGAGAGTAACACCGAGCTCTCTCTCTTGTCTTCTCTGAGCTTCCTTTGTCCACAGAGGCACTGTGGTGGAAGAACTAAAGGCCACCAGCTACCATGCACAGGATGTCTGAGCAGCTTCGGGGGCCACTCCTTAGTGCCCTGTTCCTGCCCCTGCAGCAATGGCACTCTCCCTTGCTCACACCTCCAGGGCCTGATCACAACCACATGGGTCCCTTTAAAGATGTTGGGGGCTGGGCATGTGGCTCAGTTGGTAGAGTGCTGGCCTGGTATGCACAGAGCCTGAGTTTGATGCCTAGCGCACACAAGCAGGGTGTGACGGTACACACCTGTAATCCCAGCATGTAAGAGGTGGAGTTGGGAGGATCAAGAGTTCAAGGTCACCCTCAGCTAGGTAGTGCATGCAAGGCCAGTCTGGGCTACATGAGCTCATATTTCAAAGGGCGGGGGGAGATGCTTTTGGGCTAAATTAGCCCAATGAAGGATGGAGAAAGGCACGAAGCTGTGGCAGGAAGGTTGATAGTGAGCATGGGTGCTGCTTTCAGTATTAGTAAAAAAACGGCCCGCCATGCGCTCATCTTAAAGCAGTCTGGAACCCTGCACCTGTCTGTGAAACATCACTTTGCTGAAAAGAGCCCGTCCCTGCCCTTCCGTGGAAGCCTCAGTAATAAAAGCACACAGCACATAGCTGACTTAGCCTGTGTCATAGCAGAGCCGTAAGGGCTCACCCTTGAGTTGCTGATCAGAAATTAATGGCTGGTCAATGCTGGGATGACATTCTGTCTAAGCTGTTTCCTGAGTTGAGAAGAATAGGTTTTGCTTGGAGTCCAGCGGTGGGATGGCAGGCCTCTGAAAGATGGCTGGGAAGCCGGAGCAGCCGTGCGTGTGTGCGTGCGTGCGTGTGTGTGTGTGCGTGCGTGCGTGAGTGCGTGCGGCACGCACTGGGGGACATGTAGCTCATCCTTATGGGGACAGGTGTAGGGAGGGAAGCCCAGTGCTCCACACGGTCAGATCCAGGCAGACTGCAACCCAAAGTGCAGAACTAGAGCAGCTTGCTGGGAGTCGAGTGCATGGTCATTTGACTTTTTCTTGACTCTGCACACCTTAGCCCTGTTAGCGTCCTTGAGGGTAACCTCAGGCTCCCGTGGCTCCTTCCCCTTGACCCCACCTTGTCAGGGTTGCTAGTCGCCTGGGTCACAGCACAGGTGAGGTGGCTGTTGGAAGTCAAACCCCCAGGGGTCACCTGAGAGTGGTACCCCATTAGCATTGGCACACAGGGTTCGAGAGGTTACTTGTGTCAGAATCTAATATGTGGCTAGCTCTTCCTGACGGCCAGTGTTCTATATCTAGAGATTCAACAAACCAGAGGAGAAAAATCATCAGAAAAAAAAAAAAAGTGGTGCCTGTGCAGACTTTCTTCTTGTCAACAGCCCTGGAGAGTAGAGCAAAGTAACATTTACGTAGCATCTATATCATGTTACACCACATACATTATGTAGAGATGGTTTAGGGGAGCGTATGCAAATGCTGTGTCATTTTATACAAAGGACTTGAACATCTCCAGATTTACATCACCTTGTTTTATCCTCTGGGAAAAAAAAATAAACCACACATAACAGACACCCAGTCCCACGGGGTGAGTTGGTAGAATCTATTTGAAACTATCTGATTTCTTTTACCATCTCTATCCTGACATATTGTATCCAGCCTCTATGGTCTCATCTGGGGAGCAGGGACTCCGCTACCTTTGTTCCCAGGCAGCCTGCTCACCCACATAGCGTCCCACAGAACAGCTTCTTCAAGCAAACGCCAGATGGCGCACATCCTCACCCAGCCCTGGATGATGGTGCCAGCGCTGCCCCAGGCTCAGCGATCTCCTTCCACTCTGCCCCGTCCCAGCTGCTCACCCTGGCTTCCCACTGCTTACGAGACCTTTTCACTTGCTGTCCTCCTCCTTGGAGGCTGCAGTCTATCTCTATCTTCCCCAAGGGTGCTCACCTCTCATCTGACCTCCACCCCAAGGCGCCACCTGCCTCCCTCTCTTTGTGTTACTGCATCCACCACCAGTGAAACACACTAGATTGAGCTCCATGAGGGGAGGGGATGCTTGGACTCTGTGGTCACTGCTGTTTCCCTAGAGCAGAGTCCAGCCCTTCATATTCAGGGGTACTTATTGGATGGGTAGTAAGCCACCGAGTGAGGCGTTCTGCTGGGGTAGAGTCCTGTTCTGATTCTTTGGTATGAAAATCTGGGTGTCCACCTCCTGCCTTCATATCTGATCAAGTATTGATTAGCCATGCAAGGTAAAACCATGGGAGTGGTCACCACAAAGTGGCTGGGAGAATGGCAAAGGGTTGATGCCAAGTATTCATGTATGTGTGTGTGTGTGTGTGTGTGTGTGTGTGTGTGTGTATGTGTGTGTGTGTATATGTGTGTGTGTGTGTGCAGGTGCGTGTGCACATGTG